GTCTGGAGACGATGCAGTGTCAGCTCTTCAGGATCTTCAGGGTCGTCTGGAGACTGCGCGGTGTTTCAGCTCTTCAGGTTCTTCAGTTGTCGTCTTCCTGGTCGTCGTCGTCATCGGTCGTCTGTGTTGTCTTCTCGGTCGTCTGTGTCGTCTGGCTACTGTGGGCCAGGCATCGTGGTTATATACACTCTGGTGGGTTGTAAACGGTGGGCCCTGAGGGATTCTAGTGGCCAATCAGCAAGGTTTCGAAGGTCAGGTTTTTGGAAGGGAACCAATCATGGTAAATATTTGCTCTCTGAGAAACCTCGGCAGACTCGCTGCTGTGCAGCTTCCCACAACACAGCTAAACTCTCTACATTATAACTGAATTAACTTGATCTGAATTCTTTGGGTGAGAAAATTCTGTTGAGTTTTTCACTTGCTGTTTCTGCCTGGTCTTTTATTTCTCTGACCCTAATGTTTACATGAATTAACAAGGTAATTGAGCAGATGATACCAATTTTAAAAATCCATAGTATACACATTCTCAATTACGAGATTATTAAAATAACTTTCAAATAAGGAAAATAAAAAATGCATTTGCTATCACCCCTTATCTTCAATATTGTAGACGGAAGGGACCAGCAGTTAGCGTAATGGCTATGTCACTGGACTCCCATGTAGTCAACTGCAGTTCAAGTCCCGGACCCGGTGGCTTAAACTCACGCTGGGCGCATGTGCGTGAGTGCCCAAGATCCTGAGAGGAGAATGGAGGAGAAGGGATTGTATATATATATATATATATATATATACACATATATAGTAGATGGAAGTGTTGGCCAGCCCATAAGAGAAAAATAAGAGCAAAAAAGAAATATTCACTGAAAATCAACCTACCAGGCCACCTCCCTAAGAGAAATGAAGTAGCTATAGGTCTCAGCTCTTGAGCTGGTGATATTCTCAGAGAAGCACATTACAGACAGCTGCTAGAAACGGCAAAGAAGGATGGGGGTTCCAGTACTCAGCGTGTCCATGACCATCAGCCCTCTTCTTGCCAGCACTCCCCAGAACTCAGTATGTCCTATTTCCAAAAACCCTGTCTTCACTTTATTAGCTCCATGTTGTGCAAGGGAGCGCAGTGGATCTGGGTCGTGCTCAAAACAATGTCACCACATGATGGCTCAGCCTCTCACCGGTTCCAGAGCAGCTGGGCACTTTCACTTACGAGGCTTCTGCCCCATAAATTGTGTTGCTTCCTTGCTGCTTCTGGGGGCAGTAGTGGACTAGAGCACTATCGGGCTGCTGAATACCGTTCGTTGCGCTGTGCAGAAGTCATGTTCTTTCCTCCACCCTTTCAGAGTATTGGCTGTTGTGAACATTCTTGTGCATGTTTCTTGGTAAACGTGGAAAAACTTCACTTTGGAAAGACCTTTAGGAGATGAGATCAAATTTTTTTCAACTTGTGAATGAGTAGTTTTACTAATTACAGAACCATCAGCAACACTAAGAGATTCTGAATTTCTATGTCTTCTACCACACTCATATTTTCCTGTACAAACTTCAGTATCCAGCCCTTGAGTACAATTTATTGTGGGCCAGCGAATAAAGTAAGTGGTCAGCGGGACTCTTTCTCCACATCCTGCGTGACCATATTCCTTGCACACATGTTCATGTTCACGTTTGTGTGCACGGCTGAAGGTTCTCCCTGATACAAGCAGTGTGGATTTCCTTCCACAGTAACTGAGGGTTAAATTCCCAGAAATGAAAATATGAAGCTGAGGCCTCTGGGAGATGTAGTTTCACGGTGGCGGCTGCGCAGAGTGCTCTCTGGTAGCTGTAGGCGGGGCGGTCTCTGCGCATGCGGATGCCGGTGCCGCGTGGCCCTTTCCTTTTGCTCGGTTGCCGCGGCTTTGGAGGTGGTGGTGGAATGCCTTTGCAATCTTCTCCTGGGAGGAATCAGGGCAGCTGGGCCAGGCGCACACAACCCTGCCCTGGATGCGACCTTGTGGACCTGCAGGTTCTCTGGTAGAAGAGAGATTTTGCCCCAAGCGTCTGTCCAGGTAACTGAGTTGAATCCAAAACTGGTTTTGTCCTAGAGATCCATGCTTCGGGGAGACTGCCTCAAGGAGCCAAAGGCCCTCCTGGTGGCGGTGAGCCAGGGATTAGGAACAGTCGTTGGAAATGCAGGAAGGGCGTTTGAGGCCAGTTACCGTCTCGCACAAGGAGACTGCCCTTGGGAAGATGAGCCCTAAACACGGAGGGTTGGAGACTAATGACAGTCTGTGCATAGAGGATTCACAGGGGCGAGACTCTGTAGGAAATACCCTCCAGGAGCGTGACACACGGGGACCAAGTAAAGGCGCTTTGGTTCAGAAAGGGAAGACCCTCTTCAAATGCAAAGAATGCGGGAAAGTGTTTACCCAGAACTTCCTCCTTGTCCGACATCAGCGGGTTCACACCGGAATCAAGCCTTATGAGTGCCCCGAGTGTGGGAAAGCCTTTCGTGAAAAGGTAGATTTTGATCGGCATGCGAGGATTCATACCGGGGAGAGGCCCTATAAGTGCACCGAGTGTGGGAAGGTCTTCAACCGTAGGTCCCACCTCACATGCCACCGCCGGACTCACACTGGAGAGAAGCCCTGTGAGTGCAGCGACTGTGGCAAGACCTTCAACCACCAGTCTGTTTTTGCCCAGCATCATACGACCCACACTGGAGAAAAACCCTTTGCATGCGAAGAGTGTGGGAAAGCCTTTCATTACAACTCTTCCTTGACTCGGCACATGAGGATTCATACTGGAGAGAAGCCCTTCCGGTGCGGCGAGTGCGGAAAGGCCTTCACCCACCATTCTGTTTTTGTTCGACACGGTTTGACCCACACCGCAGAAAAGTCGTATGAGTGTAAAGAATGTGGGAAAGGTTTTCTCTACAGCTATTCCCTCACTCGTCACACGAGGAGACACACTGGAGAAAAGCCCTATGAGTGCCTCGAATGTAGAAAGGCTTTTGCCTCCCGCTTTGCTTTTGTCCGGCATAGGAAGATCCACACTGGGAAAAGAACAACTCTCTAAGTACAAATGTCTTTTGGGACAGTTCTTCCCTTTGACACATAAGGAGTCACACCGAAGCATAAGGAGCACTCTGAATGCAGCGGATGTAGCAAAAACCGTGACCTGCAGCTCATCTCTCACTCACCATGGAAAAACTCATGCTGGCAATCAACTCTGCAAGGTATGTGGGAAGGCCTTTTGCAAATGGACCCACCTCAATCAACATAGAATTTCCACTGGGAAAAGAATTTTTTTGACTCAGACTGGTGAAGAACTGTCTTCCTCAGCATATGGGAATTCATCCAAGACGTAAACTTATTGGTTATTGTACACTTAAAAGAATCTTCAGCCGCAGCTCTTTCCATAGGTTTATATATCTAAGCCATCTCGGGAGTATTTCTTTAAAAGATGGAGATGAAAGAGTTGTGGAAGAAAAACGGAAATGCAGAAACAGCTTCTGTCAGACTTCACTGAAAGCCAAGCCTGTGAAAATTTGAATTCAATTCTTTATTATTGGAGTTATCTAAAAGGTAAATGGGCCTTGTCCCATTATTTGTCCTTTATGTATGTTCACTCCTGTTTACTGACAGGAGTATTGGACGGTTGAGAGTAACCATCCTCTGTAAAGATTTGTTGAATCTATAGAGAGTTATTGAATGCATTCTTTGTTCTAATGTATTGTCTCTACTCTTAAAGGGAGTGTAAGTCTTTGTGAGGAATATGAAAGCTCAAGTCATGTAATACTTGAAACCTGTAAGAAATCGTAATATAAAAGTACTGCTACCTAAAACTGCTTTGTAGTTAGGAGATAAGGATCTACAAAAGGAGGAGCATGGTTTTTACTATATCATTTAAGGTTTTAATTTATTTTCCTATCTCTTTCTTCATGTAGTTTTGAATGTTTAGCATCCGTTTTTTTCTTGACATGGATATATTTGTTTATTTTGGTACACTTTCTCAGGAAAATGAGGATACTCAGAGCTGTGTTGCTTTTTCAGATGACTGGTGATTTCTAGTTTCCTGGCTTCTTTAGTTCTCTGTAAAAAAGGCTTCTCCAACACATGTCACCAGTTTTCTAGGGGTTAAACTAGAACTAAAGTAAACAACACACAGCTTTAATGAAAAACTCAGGGAAAAAATTTTAAAATAAGGGAACCAGCAGTTAGCGTAATGGCTATGTCACTGGACTCCCACGTAGTCGACCGCGGTTTGCGTCCTGGGCCCAGTGGCTTAAAATTCACGCTGGGCACGTGTGCATGCGTGCCCAAGATCCCAAGAGAAGAATGGAGGGGAAGGGATTGAGGCGTGACCATCCCCCCGGGGGGTGATTTCTCACTTTCTGTCTGTCTCTCTCTGTCTGGCGAGCGCACGTGCCCTATAGTGAAAACCTCTCAAAAAAAATTTAAAATGAATACATTGTATTAAAATGTAAAATATGTAGGTCCTTTGACATGTTAAATTTTGTTGATAAATACTCTAACACATATGCAGGGATGTGTATACAAAGACTAATCACCGCAGTTTTGTTTTTCTATGTGAAATGTTGAAAAAAACTCAAATGTCCATCAATAGGAAATAAATTATGGTACATCTGGTCTGTGAAATACTATAAAACCACAAGGTATCTCTGGATATATGAGTAGTAAAACACCCCTAAGATGCAGCGTTAGGTAAAAGAACACGTTTCAGAAAATAAATCTAAATCTGAGAGGATAAACCAGGAACTGTTAATGGTGGCTTTCTATAGGGAATGGATGGACCAGAGATGTAGAAAACTGTTAAGAGTTTTACCTTCATACTTTAGTGTCATTTGCATGTTTTAAATAAACAGCATGTATTATTTGGAGAATAAATGTTTAAAATATTTTAATAAAGATGGAACTTTGGAATAAAATGACTTTTATTATTTCTTATAAAGCATAAACTTTAACGGAATTATTGAAAGTCATAATCTTAGTATACTTTAAAAAAAAAAAACTGAGAGTAAGGACCCAGAGCTACTCAGTCACATTTAATAAATGATACAGTAGTTTAAAAATGATGAGTTAACATATATGTGGGATAATCTGTGTGAAAATGAGAATTCAGCATAGCCTCTTCTTCAGTGAACATTCCTTTCTTTTAAATTCCTGGTAACTTTTCAGTGCCATTTTGCAGGCAGTTAGGTTTTACACGTCAGGTATCTATTTCCTTGGAGCTGATCACAAGAAAAGCACTTTGCTGGTAACATCAGTGTGTTATGCTTATATATGTGTGCGTGTATGTGTGTGCATACATGCCACATACACACAGTTTACTGGCCACATCTGATTTGCAAATGTTTGCTACTTAATGAATGATCCTGGTTTTACTGAGTTTACACTTGGACTTCGTGATATAGGTAATGTTCCAAACGAAGAGAAATATACCTGCTTTTTTAACAACATCATGTTCATGCCAACCAGCCAGACCTATTTTCCATTAAGGAAAACAAGTTTGATATCTACAGATCATACTTTAGGATTTCACTGTATTCAGGGACTAGCAGTTGGCATAATGGCTATGTCGCTAGACTCCTACGTAGCCAACAGCAGTTCAAGTCCCGGACCCGGTGGCTTAAACTCACGCCAGGCGCGTGTGCCTGTGTGCCCAAGATCCCGAGAGGAGAATGGAGGAGAAGGGATTGCAGTGTGGCCATCCCCCCCGGGGGGGGGTGATTTCTCACTTTCTCTCTCTCTCTCTCTCTCTCTCTCTCTGTGTGTGTGTGTGTGTGTGTGTGTGTTTCTGGCAAGCGCACATGCCCTATAGCAAAAACCTCTCGAAAAAAAAAAGGATTTCACTGTATTCTTCCTCACAAAGCATGTGATATTTGTTAGCTTCATTTCATTCAGGAAACATATACCATCAGAAATATTTCTCCTATTTAAGAAATAAACTAAGAGTGGGATTTTTAAACAAGCAAACTGGTAACCCACAGGTAAGCACACATACACACACACACAAAACCTCTTCAAGCATTCCAGTTGTAGCAGTAGTTTGCCCAAGAGAGTTGCCCCACCAGAGAATGATTTTGTGATTTTTCTCTTCTTTAGCAAGAGAAATTGATAGGTATATCATGAGATAAGTGATTCTGCTCAGGTGAGGTCAGTTCCTGAAAGCTGACTATGACTGAAAAGCAAGAAGACCTTATTGGCTTAAGAGGAGAGAATGTCGCCTTAAGAATCTCTCTTGAGCTGGGCCCTATAGGAAGCGTGATGGTAAGGGTGTTGGACTCCCACATGGCTGACCACAGTCGAGTCCCAGATCTGAAGGCTTGCTTTCTCATTCTCTCTCTCTCTCTCTCTCTCTCTCCCTCTCTCTCTCTAGTTTAAAAATAAAAATAAATAAATAAATAAAGTTAAAAATAAAATAATTCTTTAAAAAATTACTGTCAATACATTAAAAAATATATATATATCTTGAGCTGGCCCAATAGCCTAGTGTTAGAGCTGGATCCCACATGGCTGACTACAATTCAAATCCTAGCATTGGCAGCTGATAAAACACAGGTGCCCAAAATCCTAACAGGAGGGAGAAATGGAGGAGAATTATCCATAACCACATCCCATTAGCAAGTACTTTCCTTCTCTCTCTCTCTCTCTCTCTCTCTCTCTCTAGTGCAGTTTTGCCCATTAAAAAGAAGATCTTGGGACCAGCAGTTGGCATAATGGCTACATTGCTGGACTCCGATGCATCAACCACAGTTTGCGTCCTGGACCTGGTGGCTTAAACTCACACAGGGCGCATGTGCATGCATGCCCGAGATCCTGATAGGAGAATGAAGAAGGGACTGGGGCATGGCCATCCCCTCTGGGGGTGGGGTGAGAAGGAGGGGTGATTACTCACTTTCTATCTCTCTGCCTCTCCCTGTCTTTCTGGCAAACGCACACGCCCTGTAGGAAAAAACAAAACAAAACAAAACAAAACAACGCTCCAAAATAAGTAAATAAATAAAATAAAAAGAAGATCTTGGCGGGAGGGGGGGGGGGGGGGCAGCTGGTGGTGTCATGATTAAGGCGCTGAACTCCCCACCCCCCAAGGGGGTGATTTCTTGCTTGCTTGCTTTCTGTCTCTCTCTCTGTTTCCAACAAATACACATGCCCTAAAACAAAAATCTCTCAAAAAAAAAACCTCTTTTTCTGAGAGAGTCATTGAGTAGTCTCCCTTCTAAGTGTAGATTAAGTAGGTTTCATTACCCCAAGATAAATGAATACAACATCTTTGGTATTTCCTGTGATTTTTAAAACCCTACCTTGCTTCCACTCTAAAAAGGAAGGTGGCCACCCTAAGAAATAGGGACAATATTACTACTGCCTGTGGTGGTGGTAGCTGATGTGACTCATTGCTTCCTGGAAGGCTATGATTGTCACTAAAGGAAGTTATAATTTAAGAGACCCCCCAAGTGGGTTCTTTCTGTGATTATGCAATTATCTGGATTTGTCAGAGTACACAAATACCCATGAACTTTGGCAAGACAAAATTCAATTTCTATGTACATTGCAGTGGGAATGTAACTGCCTGAGGTGATAAAAACTGACCAAATTTTATTTCCCTCTACATCTGGCATTAGAAAAGGACCAACCCACTCTGGAGTAAGTGTTCAATGTTCTTAAACAATTCAATTAAGGAGCATGGAAACTCTCCGAAGGAGATGCTGAGCTTCATGATAGATGTGTGAGCACGTGTGTAATTAACTGGAAAAATAGGGGGGGGAATGGCCATATTTAAATTCTGAGTTTGTGGAGCAATTCATTCCAGTTAGAGGTGAAAGAATGTTTTCTTGAAGCTAATAAAACATAGGAATTTTGGAAACATAATTCCTTAGATGTTACAGGTGGTTTGCTAAAAAATTTTCTATAGAAGTTTTTGAATGTATATCTCCCTTTTAATTTCTGATGCTGTTAAGAAATCAACTATGACTTTATTTCCATTCCTCTATAGGTGTTTTCCTTTTCACTTTCAAGCTTTGTATGTCATTGATATTCTGTAATTTCAACATGGTA